ACTTAGTCATTCATATTTAGTATCAGTAAACTAGAAGCTGGGATTGATATTTATATTTACATGTTTTCAAACCAAATAAAATGTCTAAAGCAGTAGAAAACTCTCTTGTCGGCATTTAACTTGAATAAGTTCATCCTAAAATGATGTTTGGACATGTCAACCAAATTAATTTTACTACCAAAGCTAATTTTTAAATATCCAAGGAACTAATGAATCTAAGAGTCCAGAAGTGTTTTAATCCTAAATTTCCCTTCAGCTAGCTGTGGAAGGGCGTGGCTCTGCAGCCTGGGACGACGTGCGAGGCCTTCGTTTTATTGCCGTCTGATCTAAAGGCCAGGTGTGCTGGTGTGCACCTGTAATCCCAGGGACTCAGGAGGTGGGGGTGTGGCGGTGTGTGCCTATAGTCTCCACCGGAAGGTGGGGGCAGGAGGGTCCTGACAGCCAGAACCTGCTTTTAAAGAAAACAAAAATAGCCGTGGAACTGCAGAGCAAGTTTTTTAATATATATAGAATACATACAAATAAACTACACACACAAACGCACGCACACACACAATTTTATACACATCTCTATTTCTACCTCTCTCTTTGCCTTCATCTATATCTGCTTTGCTATCCCACTCTATAGGCTGTGTGCAAAGTGTCAAAGAGGCTTTGGACTTTGGAATCTACAGATCTAGCTGTGTGAGTCTTCAGGTAAATTGCTTACCTTTGAATCTCAATTTCTGTATCTATAAAATAAGGATAATAGTCTTTAATTCATATGTCGGTGAGAAAATCATAAGAGTACACATGTATTATCGAGCCACTGCTATTTTCCATATGAGGAAAGTGACACACACACAGAGATTTAGTAGTACACCCATGGCTACACAGCTAGGAAAAGGCAGAGCTGGGTTTCAGGGTGTTGACTGAGAACTCGCCTTCTGCATTATTCCACAAATCAACATGGTGCATAATGCTCAATGCTTGCTCATTTCTCTCTTGATCTCCCAGGGTACTTTGACAAGAACATTCTCAGATAAACAAAACCTGAAAGAATTTACCAGCACCAGACCAGATCTCCAAGAAGTTCTCAAGGCAGTGCTATGTCAGGAAAATTAAATGCAGACACACAGAAATAAGAGTTCAAAAACTAAGAAAATGGCTAACTTAATTGTAGGGACAAGTCTGGAGTTGAATATTATATCCCAGAATTCAATCAGGAAGATCGAACCACAATAGAAGATAAAGTACATGAAACTGAACTGGTGAAATAGCATTCTGTGACTTTTGACTAAAATATTGCTGCTTTTTTTTCCTAGGCTTTGTTATCCGATTTTAAGAGTTTTTGTCCTGTCTTGAGCTGTCAGTAGGTTCATGTAGCTACTATTTAAACAGAATACTAACCTGTTTCCAGGCTTTAAGTTTTAAGCAAATTTCCTTACCAATTCAAAACTGCTTTTCTTGAAATTACCAGCTGAACTTGCTATTGAAAGTAGTTAGATTATTTAAGAAATTGTGTGATTAAAATGTGAGGGGAAAAGGAATAGAAGACAACTGTAGACACCAGAGATAATGTGAGAAGAGGGTGGGAAAGGACAGAGGATCAGACATAGGGGTATATATACATATATACATGAAACTAGAAATGGAAAATTATTGAAGATAACATGCATAATTACACCATTATGCAGTATATGCATCCCAGATGGCAAAGAGTCTCCTAAGGGCATTGATAATCTGTTCCATGAAATTCTACAAGAAAACTTTCCAAACCTAGAGAGGCACTCAAAGATTCAGCCCCAAGAAATACAAAAGACCCCAAATAGAATCAATCCAAGAAGATCTTCTCCAAGACACATTATAGCCCGACTGAACAAAACCACAGACAAAGACAAGATACTATAAGATTGGCCAGAGGGAAACAGCAAGTTACCTACAAAGGATAGCCCATCAGGATAACAGCAGACCTCTCATCGGAAACAATGCGAGCGAGGAAAGAATGGGAAAATATATTTAAAGTGTTAAGAGAAAAGTAATTTTAACCAAGATTACTGTACCCAGCAAGAATATCCTTCATGTGGGAAGGAAAGACAAGAACATTCTCAGATAAACAAAACCTGAAAGAATTTACCAGCACCAGACCAGATCTCCAAGAAGTTCTCAAAGGAGTGTTCTATGTCAGGAAAATTAAATGTACTCACACAGAAAAAAGAGTTCAAAAACTAAGAACATGGCCGACTTAATCGTACGGACAAGTCCGGAGTTGAATATTATATCCCAGAATTCAATCGGGAAAATCGAACCACAACAGAAGATACATTAAATACATGAGACTGAACTGGTGAAATAGCATTCTGTGACTTTTGGCTAAAATATGCCTGCTTTTCTTCTAGGCTTTGTTGTCCTGTTTTTAGAGTTTTTGACCTGTCTTGAGCTCTCCATAGGTTCATGTACCTACTATTTAAACAGAATACTAACCTGTTTCCAGGCTTTAAGTTTTAAGCAAATTTCCTTACCAATTCAAAACTGCTTTTCTTGAAATTACCAGCTGAACTTGCTATTGAAAGTAGTTAGATTATTTAAGAAATTGTGTGATTAAAATGTGAGGGGAAAAGGAATAGAAGACAACTGTAGACACCAGAGATAATGTGAGAAGAGGGTGGGAAAGGACAGAGGATCAGACATAGGGGTATATATACATATATACATGAAACTAGAAATGGAAAATTATTGAAGATAACATGCATAATTACACCATTATGCAGTATATTCTGGATGGGAAACCACATTTTGTATGCTGTGATGATGTTTAGGGGATGCATGTAAATTAATTAATTAAAAAAAAGTTTCAGGAGAAAAAAGCCCATGAAAACCGTTTTTCTTGAAATTAAAAAAAATGCATATTTGATGACTGCAGTAAGCTATATAGTCCCAGCTAGGTGCTACTGTATAGTATGTTCATTCTACTCACTGAGGTTAGGCCTAAAGTCAGACTTGGGTTCATGTATATGTATATATCAGCTGCACTTGCTACTGGAAATATTTAGATCAATTAAGTTCATTAGCAAATCAATAAAATGGGGGTAAAAGACATAGAAGCAACCATGGATACAAGGATGGCAAAAAAAAAAAAATATACAGGAAACAAGAAATGGAAAATTATTTGTTGATGATAGCACGTATTTTGATGTGCTTTATTGAGCCAATATACAGTGTATTCTGGATGGGAAATCTCATTTTGTATGTTGTAATGATGTATAGTGAATGAATGTAAAATTTAAATTTAAAAAGTTCACATAGAAGCTCTTCCAAGTCATTTAAAATTTTCAACATATATTAAAAAAAAAAATCACCAGAGGGCATGTGAGTTCACCAGAGAGAGACAGGGAGAGTGGGAAAAGTAGAAAACACTCCCCAGAGTGGTATAGTCATACCACCATCCCTGCTCCTCCATTTCTCCATCCTGTCAGAATTGGGAGCACATAGGCTCACATCCCCAGCCTGTTTTTCAAGCTGCTCTGGCCAGGATGTGAACTGTTCACTTGGCCATGTGGAATTTTAACTACTAGGCCATGGAGCCAGTTTCTGCATCTGTATTTTTAGAGTTGTTAGAATTTTAATAAATATTTCTCTCTCTCTTTTTTTTGAGAGGTTTCTGCTATAACGCGCGTGCACTCGCCAGAGAGACAGAGAGTGAGAAAGCAAGAAATCACCCCCCAGAGGAGATGGCCACGCTGCAATCCCTTCTCCGGATCTTGGGCATGCACGCATATGTGCCCGGGTGTGAGTTTAAGCCACTGGGTCCGGGACTAGAACTGCGGTTGGCTACACGGGAGTTCAGTGACATAGCCATTACGTTAACTGCTGGTCCCAATAAATATTTCTTTATGCTGATTGTATTATTGATATACAGTCATGTGCTGCATAAACACGTTTCAGTCACTGATGGACCATATACGTGATGGTGGTCCCATAAGGAGCATATAGAGTGTCCTAGGACGCCTAGGTATAAAGTAGCTTATGCTGTGTACGTCTCTGTAAGTACATTCTATGATATTTGCACAACGATGAAATTGTGTTGAAATTGCATAATGACACATGTCACAGAACATATCCCCTTCATAAGGCAATGCATGACTGTGTGCGTACTGTTTAGAAAAAACTTAATAAAGAAAAAACTTGAACAAACCAAGATCATCCATAATCCCTAGAGATAATAAAGTGATTGGATTTTAGCAAAATCAATACATTTTTTATTTTCTCGTTTTGTGTTTTGACAGTCCAATATTATAATTGACAGCAACCTTGATCTACAGACCATGTGGAAAATTTATCTTACATCTTAAGATCAGTTAGTCATGGCATGTCTCAGGGTGAAAGTTGTAATTTCTGTGAAATGCGAAGCCTCAAGGATGAAAGGAAAAAGTAATATAGAGTAGAAGAGAGTGAGGACATAGTTTGAATTCTTATGTGGTCTCTTTTGGAATAATAAGTATATATTTTTCTTTAGATGTATTACATAGAAGACTAAAGAGGTAGCTGGGAATAAAGGATTGCAAAGGCAGCTTTGAATGAAGGATTGTGAACATTCTTGGGCTCATTTCATTTGAAATATCATATATTTGTAGTTTTAAAGGGGAACAACTAAGATTTTTGTTATCTACTTATCCTGGCATCTGCCGAAACATATTTTCCTCTGCCTTGTAGTAAGAGTAAAAATGGTACTTATTAAGATTCTGAAATGAAGACTATTATAATAGAATGAAACGGTTAAAGAAATGGAATTACCTTGAGGTTGTTTTGAGATGTTGAGATGTTGACTTGTACGTGCTGTGGATAAGGTATCATGAAGCTCCTAGAAGACCATGTTGTTCCATAAGGGGAGGGGCTGATCTTTAGGAATAATATTTTGCCAGGTTAATAACTAGATATTGTCCAATGATTCTTATTGATTGGGAAGACATGATTTTAACAGGTTGATAACTAATCATGTTTATCTCTGGTTTATTCACAAGTGTTTGAATGAAGAATACCATGATGACGCAAGCCCATCTTCACTGCCTGTGTCTTCTTACACTTTATTTGGTAAGAGACGGGGACATTCTTTCTTTATTTTTTTTAAAAAGAATTATTTATTTATTTCTTATTTCTTATTTAAAAAAAAATTGACTGGAGTGGGGGCCGTCAGATAGCAAACCACCAGATCCAGGTGGCCATGTGGGAGTCCAGCATTTTAATCACATGCTGGTCCCAAGGAGGACATTCTTATTTATTTACTATAACAATTTGTTGCTATCCTTCTACCTCACATCAGGGGAAGAATAGCTATCATTACTTTAAAAAAATTTTTTTTTTAGGTTTGCCATAGGGCTTTGGAGAGAAAGAGAGAGAAAGAGAGAGAAAGAGAGAGAGAGAGAGAGAGAGAGATACCACCCCCCCCAGGGGGATGGCCATGCCACAATCCCGTCTCCTTCATTTTCCTCTCAGGATTTTGGACACACATGTACATACAACTGACATATTTTTCAAGCCACTGAACCAAGTTTAGCCATGTAGGAGGCCAGTGCCTTAACCATCATGTCACCTGCTTGTCCCTTATTACCACTTAAAAAAAGTCCTATCAAAATTAAGTTGTTGTATAAAATGGACACATAGTTTTTCTTGATGTGATTTTTTTTCAGTAAACTGCATACAAATCATATCTGTCTTTCAACCAGAGGAGGTATTGTGTCCTGAGTTCTTGTAAGATAATGCTATTTAATGGACAAAGTCTAAGACAGATCTATTTATCTCCTGAAGTCTAGATTTTCATGTATAGCTTAGGGAATCCAGAAAGAAATGATACTGATAAATGGCCAAAGATACTTCAGAAAGTTTTTGAAAAATGGAATTAAATTATGAGTTTATTTTGGTGTATAAAAAATTGTGTAAAATCCATAATACACATTTTCCTTAAACTTTTTGAAGACCCACCCCTCCATATTAGTCTATGTCCCTTTATCTTGATTTTTTCTCTTTGATCATGAAAAATGATTACCAAAACATTAAGAAAAATCATTTTCTCTATTTTTGACACTGCTCTGCTTTGTGTTTTCTTTTTTTTTTTATAAATGGTTCAAAATTTTCTGGTTAAATTTGTCTTAAACCATTTGTTGATTTACCTCTATTGAGTGACAAACTTCTAGAGGGTGGAGCTGGATGGAAACAGGACGCTCTTAGCCCTCATCTTGGGCCACTTAGTGGGATACCATCCTTGTCTTACCCATGAGGCTCTAGAAGTTGCCAAACAAGTTGCTGTACAGCATTATAAAGCAAGATTATAGGGAAGCATTTGCTTTTTCTTTTGAAAAGAAGCTTCCAGATTCTTATACCTCAAATCTTGTTTCCTTTCCCCTGGGAGCTCTTCCTCCCCAAACTGATCAGATTTAGTTTCAGAGAGCACCATAGGAGTTCTTCTATACAATTCAATATATTTACAGAGAGAAATCAAGTTAAATTTGCAAAACTACCAGAGCATTTTTTTCTAGGGAAGACTTTTGCTAAAACTTTTATAAGAATGTGCATCCTCACAGTCTGGGGGCTCAAGGCTTGGGATTGTGTAGGGACTGGTAAGACATTCCCACTTGACCTTTCTCATTTTCCTGTCTTCTCTAACATCCGTTGTAGGACTAGCTATTGGTATAATGGCTATGTTGCTGGACTCCCATGTAGCTGACCATGGTTTGAGTCCTAGACCCGGTGGCTTAAATTCATGCCGGGAACGTGTGCATGTTTGCCCAAGATCCTGAGAGGAGAATGGAGGAGAAAGGGATTGTTGCCTGGCCATCCCCCCTGGGGGGGATGATTTCTCGCTTTCTGTCTCTCTGTCTCTCTCTTTCTGGAGAGGGCATGCACCCTATAGCAAACACCTCTCAAAAAAAAAAAAATCCTTTGCTATCCACATTATTGTAGGTTGGAGATGAAGTTAGTCCTGAGTTCAAACTTGATGTTGCCACTTACCAGTGTTAGGAACTTGGGTGAGTTATCTAAGGTTTGAACCTCAGCCTTTTGTCTTGTGAAATGGGTCTAATAGTGTTTGCCTAGGGGATGTTGTGGCAATTAAGTGAAATGTAAAGATCTTGGATCAGTGACTGGTGCAGTCTAAGCACTCAATAAATGTTGGCTATTATTACTATGACTGCAGAGCATTTTAAATATTCAGCGTCTAAATCTGTATGGACACTGACCTCCATGAAGAAGGAACTATGTTTCAGTCATCTTTGCAGCTTCAGCACATACATTGTCAGAAATAGGGTAGAAATGAAATATATGAGTATGGAATTATTAGTATATTAGGAAACATAATGAGATTTAAGAGAGAAAGAGAAGGTTCTATTACAACAGCTTGATATTGCTGAGCGCATTTGCTTCTTATCTGAGAAGGGGACGTGAATTTTTTCTTCTTGAGTAAGAGGTGAAAATAAGGCTTCCATCTCTAGTCTCAGTCCAAAGGGAGTTCTCTAGAGTAAGAAAGACTTATCAAACCACTGCTGGTAGCAAGCATCTTATCCAGGAAATGGCCAGAGGCTCTGAGTGAAGGCAGAGCAGTTGATCCCTGTGCGGTAGGACTTCAGGGATGGAAGCACCTTCCTTTTCTGCCTCAACCCACATCTTACTCTCACATCCTCTCCTGTAAAAACTGGAAGAGTAGTTGGAGCTACTTGCCTTCCACATAAGGCTTAATTCAGCAGACATAGTAATATATATGATTTCTAGTCATTTATGCCATACTACGAGTGACTCTCCTGTCCTCTTCTAAGTGTTTCCATAAGGGAGTTGGACACATGGCATGGATATATTGCAAGGGCACTAAAGAGAACCAAGTGAGCAGTCCAGGGCTTGGGAAGGGTGCTGAACAGGGAGGCAGGGGGAACCAACAAGTCATCTGTCTTAGAGTTTTCTCTGGGACT